TGGGCGGTGGGTGAGTGTCGGCGCGCGCGAGCCCCGGGCAGGACCCGTCAGCGCTGGGGGTCGTCTCCCCTCTCTCGGCGTTTCTGAGTCCCAGCTTTGGGGGGCTGGGTTTGCTCCGACCTTTCTCCCCAAACTCCCCATCCTTCCCCGTCCTGGCCAGCCGGCAGCCAAGGGCTGGCCCCTGGGTCTTCCCTCTTCCCCAGGCACCCGAGCCAGCGCGCAGCTCTCCAAGCACCCAACGCCACGCGAAGATCCTCTCCCTCCACACCTACCCAACACCCCCTTTCCCGGCACCGTCTCTCCTGAACACCTTTAGGAAGCCGGGCCCCCGAGAGCGCCTCGGACCTCTGGTCCAGCCCGGCGTGAGCCCAGGCTGCGCCAGTTGCGCCTCGCAAAGCCTCAGGTGGGGGACTTTAAACCTGTTCAGGGAGCAGTGCCTGAATCTCGCCTTTGTGGCTCTTCTGAATTTTCTCAGTCCTCCTGCCTCTGCGGAGATTGTTTTTTCTCTGCCCAGCCCTCCCGCCTTCCATCCGGAAGCCTGCGCTCGGGGCTCGGGTAATCGCGCCTGCTCTCCACGCTGACCCCGAGCCCTGCTTTCCTCCGCCTCCTGGACCTAGACGACCTCACCCTCTCCCCTCGCCCCTTTTCCTTTCCTTCTGCCGCTCTAGGCATGGGTTTGGAGGTTCGCTCATCCTGGCCCCAGGGCTCCCAGCGACGTGTAACTGGGAGGCAGGTAGCAGTTCTGAAACCTTGCGCTCACCCAATGTCACCCTGGGGATCTCCGCAAGTCAAACAGCCTCTGGCAAATGCAAAGCGCCCAACTTCCTCAGAAACCATAAAGCCAACTACAGCAACCCCAACATTTCCTGGGGGGGGGGGCGGGGGCTGGTCATCACTAATGAGATTTAAGGGTGGTGGTGGGGTGGTGCTGGTGGTGATGATGATGGTGGTGGTGCTGGTGGTGATGATGGTGGTGATGGTGATGGTGCTGGTGGTGGTGATGGTGGTGGTGCTGGTGGTGATGGTAATGGTGATGTGGGGATGGTGGTAATGGTGGTGGTGATTATGGTGGAGGTGATGGTGATGGTAGTGGTGGTGATGGTGGTGTTTTTATATGTTTGTTTCTATTTCCTTAGTTATCTGTGTAGAGAAGGGAAGGGTGCGTTGGAAAGATACTTGCTAATTCGTATACACCAGACAACTCTCAGGTTCTCTGTGTGAAGACAGGATGACTTCATGGGAAGGAGTCAGGCTGGAACTGTCACTTCCTCAGCATTTCCATGTTGTGGCCGCTTCTGTGAAAGAATCAGAAAGCTCCTGGTTGCAGCAGAGTAGTTCGCGTTGTCGCTGAGTCATTGGCCAAGGCCGGCAGCCTGGGTGAAAGCATTTGTGGTCTCTGAGGGGCATGGGAACCCAGAAGTTGGGTGTGGAGAGGAAAGGCTGGGATTAGCAAAGATGAAAAGCAAAACCAAAACAACCAAGAAAGGACACTTGGGTGTTAAGGAAGCCAAACCTACAACTGATGCTTAAAAAGGCTCCTGGGACCTTAGAGCTAGTGGCCAGTGTCCAGGCCAGCCACCATCTGGTCGCCTGGGAAGGTGAAATGAAACTTCTAGACTTCCAACCTCTTTTTGCTCATCCATATTTTTTGTCCTAAAAAGGCTTTATTATTAGGTAACCCTTACAGGCCAAAAGAGTTAGCTGAGCAGCTAGAACCATGCCATTTCTGGTACAAGCCAACCCTAATTGCCGTAGTTCCAGAGTATATCTGCCTCCAGGGAGTTAGGGTGCCTGGCATTAATCACCCTTGTGGTGGTGCTTGGGCATTCCTCACCCAAAAGCATACAGACCAGTGGCAACCTTAAATTTTCTTATTGCTCTCAGACACACTCTTTTTTTTCCCCTTTTTCTCTCTTGGCTGGCTGTGCAGAGTTGAGGAAGAAAAAGGAAAGAGAAAGGAGAAGGAGAAACTCACATTTGGGTCTAAAATGACATTGTGGTTGAGCAAAAGTTGCCTTTGGCTAGACATGCTCTCGGATGGAATGTGAGCTTTCATAAGCAGGAATACTGTTCGGTTTTGAATGTAGCTTGCCAGTCTCCTAAGTAAATGCTTGTGGTCTCTATCAGGGAGGAGAGAGTCTGAACACCTGTGCTCAGCTACACAATGGCTTGACATTGTCACGCTATTCCAGAAACTGAAATAAAGTTTAAGTATCTGTCCAGAGACACTAGCTCCTAGAAGTACTTAGCACTTTGTCTTAATGGGTCGTTTCCTGATTTTGAGTAATCTTCAAGTTTGAGTTCAAGAAAGTTGTGTTTCAAACCTGCTATTTTAGTGGTATTTTTAAGTGAGACAAAGGCCTTTTTTCCCCCTGGCCATGGTTTTATTTTTTTCAAGTGCCTGTCTTTTGGCTATGCTGAGATCTCCACTATTATGATATGAACAGATAACAAAAGATGATGGGAGAAGAGGTGGAAGTGGGCATAGCATCCATGTTGCCATAGAGATGGTTATTTGGTGGACAGGTGCCAGCTCACCAGTGAAATAGGACCCAGTGAATGTTTGTTTCCCTGTGATGTTATAGATGGTACCCTCTTCTTTTTTATTTATTTTTATTTTTTAAAAATATATATTTTATTGATTATTTTTACAGAGAGGAAGTGAGAGGGATAGAGAGAAACATCGATGAGAGAAAAACATCAATCAGCTGCCTCCTGCACATCCCCTACTGGGCATGTGCCCACAACCAAGGTACATGCCCTTGACCGGAATCGAACCTGGGACCCTTCAGTCTGCAGGCCGATGCTCTATCCACTGAGCCAAACTGGTTAGGGCAGTACCCTCTTCTTCATGACCAGTCTGTGGATCTGGGAGTGGGAGTCAGAACACTACCCACTTTCCAAATATGCAAATATTAAAAACTCAAGAAAAGATCCCAAGGATCTACAGGATGTCTCCCAAAAATGTATACATACTTTAACAGCTGAAAGCTGAATTTTGAAAATAAAATGTATTTTAATAAACACTGCCTTTATAATTATTTAAAGCATGTATATACATTTTTGGGGTACACCATGTACTTTCAGCAAAAACCCCAGGCAGGAATTATTGCTTTCTTTATTGTCTAAATTTATCAACAGCACAACAGGTTTTTAACAGGTTTGGAGCACTAAAAAAACTTTTATTTACTCAATAGTCCTCTTTCTTAAATATTTTCAGTCATTTTATTGAGGTATAGGTTAAGTTTAATACTGTGAAATTAAA